CCCCAAAACCCCAAAACCCCAAAACCCCAAAACCCCAAAACCCCAACCAAAGAAAAATAATTGATTCAATAATAATTTTGAAAGAGATGCTTGAAGAGCAAAAGCCTAGCAAAAACACTAAAAAATCATCTGCTTGAGCCAGAGGCTCTAAAAGTAAGGGTTTTAGGGTGATTGCAACTACTTCCGAAAATTTGGATTTGTGAATGATTCTCTATCAAAAAGTTGGCAAATTACGTTTTAGATTCCTCCATTAACTTCTTAGCTCATATCTTTCTTTTCAGAAGACGTGTGCTCAATCTGGCTTGATAGAAAGTGGTTGTTCGTGCCTTTTTAACTATATTTGATTAATAGAAGCTTCCCAGAATGCAAAGGAGAAAAATAGAAAACTTCAGCCAAACAAGCCGTGAGAGGTTTGAAAAAGAGCCCAGCTCTGAGACCTTTGCCAAAAGCAATGGATTCTTAGTGATCTAGAGGCAATGGCTAACCTTGTGCAACAGCAGAAGCAAAGTAAGCATTGTTCCCAAATTAAGTCTTTTGAAAGTAGATATATTTGATAAATTTTCAATTCGTAAGAAAGCTAACTTACAGCTTCTATACTTTTGAGCACTGTTCAGTATGAATTAGTTGATTTTGATATCTCCATCCTAAAATCAAGCTAATTTGAATGATTTCTGGGGCTCAGACCAGCTTTTGGCACATATCATTTCTTGGAGATCCTTAGCAATTCTGATCCTATGTAAAGGAGATACCTCTTTATAATCAGCCTTATCCTCTCAATGTCGCGAGTCTAGAGTGTGATGTCTTCTCATTGAGGTAGTTGAAAGAATTGCTTTCTTCATCCTTCTCCACCTAGGATTCGGTTATTGATAGGTTAAATTTTTCATCAGTGGGTTTGATAATGGGATTTAAGCAGTTTAACTCTCATACTTATTGTTGATCTCTCCTCTCTAGATAGGTAAGGTAAGGGCTTGAAATGACCTTAGTCTAACACCTTGAGTGAATTTGGTTTGGGTTTGTCATTTTCTCATAACTTCATAAATGTCAAAAGTTATTGATCCAATCACCATTACTACCACTAATGAGGTATTTTATTGTACTTTATTGACGATCTAACATTAGGATTTCAAATTATGAGAGATAGGGCATTTTATGCCAAAATTCTGCAACTTTTTGCTCATTGACTACACTAAATCTCGTATTCTCATTAAAGATTGCATTCTAAATGTGCTGTGAAAGGATGGATTTGCCGAGTATTTCCAAAATTAAGCTCCTTTTCAGCCTTCAAAAGTTTAAACAAGTAATAGAAGTCTCAAGCTATCTTTTACATCTTGGTCGTACTTTTTCTGAAGTTATGAGTAACCATTAGAATCTTGGGTAACTTTTAAGTTCAGAGTATATCTTCACTACGCTAGAAAACCTTTGCCCTATTTGAACAGAAATGACTTGATTAATTGGTTTAACTCAAATATATTAGATTTGTTGAAATAGTAATTTGATATGTTGAACATATTTTATGAAGAGACCACCAAAGTTGGGTTTCAATCAAAGCAGTAAAAACACTTGAAATTATCAGAGGTGTTTACATAAATCTGCTAGATCATAAGTACTCCTCTGTCAAACCTTTTCTAGGCTATCTGTAGTCAATGCAAACTGTGGCTGGTTGAAAGTTAAAGAAATAAGCTTCTAGAGCCTTAGCCAAATAGCGTGCTTGTTTTAGCATCCTTATTCTATGTTTGCGAAGGTAGTAATAGACTTTTCTTTAAGAAATCGGTTTTTGATTAATTTGAATGAGAGTATCAAAACCAAAGTTTCTATTGTTCATGAAATCAGACCCGCTTTAAATTCTTTATTGTAGTCTTTGTTAATCCTATTTGAGATTTCAGAAGTAAACTTTAATTTGTATTTAAAAGCGAAGATTCTTCATTTGAAATATTTAGAATATTATTCTTGGTAAATTTAAGCTTGAGTGCTAAAGATCGAAACTCAGTAGTATTCCCATGTTAAGCTTTCCAATTGTATATTTGGTATTGCAAATAGATGGAAAGGGTCCTTAATGATATAAATCATTCACTAAGTTTTAGTAGCAAAACTTCTTGATTTTGTTGGTTCATCTTTGATATTTTGGAAATAATTTATCTTGTGGAGGAGTTTACTTGATTTTAATAAAAAAGAAGTAATCTTGTGAAGAGTTGGACCATTAAATTCGTATTGTAAGAAGTCTAGTGCTAATATTGTTACAAAGAAAATCCTTCTATTGTAATTTGAATAGAATGTCAATGATCTCTTCCATCAGAGTATTTTATAGAAAGGATTTATGCTAAGATGTTTGTATTGTACATACTATTGTTAGAGATTCAACAGAGTTTTCAACAAGAAAATTGATTTGTTTTGGTATTGATTAACCGATTCCTTTAAATTATTAGATCTTCATTCCTTTAAGTTTTATGTCTTTTATCATCAGTTGTCCTGTTTCATCAAGGCCACAATGAGAGAATGGTTTCTAAATAATTATTTGGGCTAGCTACGAATTACCCACTTAATTTTGAGATGATATAAACTTTATTTAGAGCAAATTTGAGATCAATCAGATACCAATCCTTCGCTTGATAACAAGAGTCAAAAGAGTAAGCTCATTGCATTATAAAGCCAATTCTTCTGCTTCATTATCAATTTGGACAGATAAATTTCACAGTTTTACCAAACTGTGAAATTTTATGGTATTAAGAAGGTCATTAAAGCAAATTGTTAAATCAGAAATCATTAGTCCTTTTACCATGCTTCATACTGATAGTTTTATGAGAAATCACTGAAAAACTAATTTTCAAAAATAAAATAAGTTTATTCATCATGACAAATCTTGTCATCTGGAATGTCTGGATCATTTCAGAAATATTTCTGCAGTGATCCTACCATTTAATCTGAAAAATTCTCCATGATGGTTTAATTGATCATATTTTTAAGAATTACTCCTCCAATAATCCTGCATGTATACCCAAAATGTCTTCTCTCCTCTAAGAGTAAATACCCAGACAGGTTTCATGTAAAGCCTTACCTTGCATGCGAGTTGCAATTATCATGAGTCTTCATCGATATGCGTTCATAATTTGCCTTAAACCTGCTATGTTTGATTGTAATTCAGTTGATTTCACTTTAATCAGAAATCAAAAGAATTTTGCCCCTGTGCTAACCCATCCAATAGGAAGAAAGAATAGGAATAAGCCTAAGAGGAAACAACCAACCTCCAGCACTAGAACGACCAATGCTAGCAATAAGAGTAAGTTTGGCTCACTTCTCTATCTTATTTTGTTCTGGATTCGTCTTAATTTTTAGGAATCAAACTTAAGGAAATAGACTCTAACTCTGAGGAGGAATCAAGCGACAATTTGTTAGGTAAGGCTATTAGTAATGCTTTGGGTTTAGAAATCACAAAGATGATTGATAAAAATGTTGAAAGAGCTAATAGGTTGAGCAAGAACAATAAGATAAAGGAAGAGGCTCCAACAAGGAAGAGTAAGAGAACTAGACATGCGCCTGCAAAGGATCCAGAAAATAGTAATATCTATAACCTTGTTAAGAGCAGCATTTACTGTGAGAATGATTATGACCTCGACAAGTTCTATCTTGGCGAAACTGTTGACCCATGCTTAGACAATAAAGACAAACTCAAATCCAGTTTTGATTCCCCATCAATTAAGAGAAAAAGAAAAACTAAAGAAAAATCGATTGAAGTTGAATAAACTGACGAGATAGATAAAATGTACTGGTATTAAAAGAATGAGAGCCCAAAGATATCTAACTTAGAGTCTTTAAAGGATAAAATTGGTAATTACAATTGGTACTCCATATTTCCTAATATTCTCATCTCTACCATACTAAAATTGAATGGGGTTTTGGGGTTTTGGGGTTTTGGGGTTTTGGGG